AAAAATTCAATTGTTGAATCCACTAAATACTGCTGAATACTCTTCCAAAGTTTTGAGACCAATTTATTTTTCTTTTTACAGAGAGTAAGAGTTCTCCTTTGGCCACACTTCCATGACATTTAAAATATCAGAATTAAATCATTTTAATGGGTTTGAAACAAAATTCACTGTGTTTTTTGATTTCTCCTTCCTGATTGACTGATAATATAGCTGGGCATCATCTCCCACTGTGGCCTCTTCTGGGATATGTCGATGTTCACGCCAATAGCCCATATGCAGTCTTTTCCTTTTGGCTCACAGAAATACTTCTGAAATAATACAGAAGTATGATTTAGACTGCTTATGAAACATTTTCTTCCAGCTTCTAATTTATCTTTTCATTAATTGCACTGCTTTGATGAGTGGAAGTTGTTAATTTTAATGCAATTTCTCTCAACCTTTTGGTTCCTCTTTCTTAAGCATCTCAGCTAACGAACTATCTCTTACCTGGAGGTCATACAAGATCTCTTTTACCTTGTTTCTGAATTTTATAGTTTTGAATTGTATATGGGAATAAGTCAGTAGACATAGAATTAAATTTTGGTATGGAATGATATGGAGGTTCAATTTTATAATTTTTATTTATTAAGGAGTTTAACATTTCTCAATTTATAAGAAGTGTTATCTATGCCACCAAATTTTCATTTAAGAAAAAGGCTGTTTTAGGATTCCTTAATCAACTTCTCTATTCTTTTGCCACATCGTATAAATTAATACGATGTAGTTTAATAATAATTGTCTCCCTTTCAAGGCACATGATCAGGCACAGTGGTGCAGGCCTATAGTCCCAGCACTGGGGAGGCTGAAACCAAGAGGATCACTATGAGTCTGGGCTGCACAGTGAGACCCTGTACCAAACACATTAAAAAAAATCCTTTAAAAATATCTTCACTGGGGCTGGGGAGATGGCTCAGTGGAATAAGCACTTCCTTGGCAAGCGCAAGGGCCTGAGTTCAATCCCCCGTTCCGCAAAAAAAAAAAAAAATCTTCACTGGAATTTTATTGAACATATAAATAAGCTTGGAGAAAACTGACTCAGCTGAGCTCCTGAGTCATCCAATCCATGAACAAGATCTCCCTGTCTCTTTAGATAAGCTTTCTTTAATATGTTTCAATAAAAGTTTATTTTCCCTGTGAAGGTCCTGCCTGTCTTTTATTTCTTGATACTTCATAAACTATACTTTCTTCCCATCTTTAGATATAATAAAATAGGTATTATGTCTATTAATTATGCATCCAAAAACTTGTTAAAATGTTATATTTCTAATAATTTATTTGTAAGTACATTTGAGCTGTTCCAAATAGACATTCTTTTCATCTGTGAATAATAGCTTTATGTCTTCCTTTCTCAGTTATTTAACTTGTTCTTGTCCTCTATTACAAAGCCAAATACAAGAAGTGATTGTTTTTCCAACACTAAACCATACCTGACTTCCTGGCTAAACCTCTTCACTATGGTGTTAAACATGATTTAATTGTTGAAGTTTTTATTACTTTTATGTATTAATGAAACAGACATATATTTTCCTTGTCATCATTCCTAGGTTTTACAATTGTCTCATACTTTTCACATTCTCAAGGTTTTACTACATTTCGAGAGTCAGAATAGTACTGAGGAAGTTACACGCAAATGAAAATGCTTATTGCAGGTTAGCATAACTAATAATAAAATGACTTTGATCTTTCATTTTTCTCTTTATTTCTCTTTTTCTTCTCACCCTCTTCCCTTTCCTACTTTTTTTCTATTTTTTTAAATACTGTTTGTTCATCCTGGTGAACAAACTCATCATACTTTGAGTTTTGTACTTTAAAACTGTATTAGCTATTATTTCTTGAAACTTTTAGGCTTTGACAAAAGGCACTTTCCCCTCAAATAATAACCTCTCCCTATCCTGAAATATAATAAATATCTGGACTTCTTGTGGTCATCATTTCTGAGAAAAAAATTCCTTTTCATTGAACATTAAGCTCTAAGACTGGTAATTTTACATGTAGTTTCTGGATGGTACATTTATTTTCACCTACAAAGAATTATAGCTATCATGTTCTAGTTTCATGATGCAGATTTTCAATTAAGCATCCCATTTTGGGTGTGACCTGGGTTTTTTCTACTATAACTGAAAACAACAGTGAAAAAATCCTGACATTAAAAAGCACATTATTGGGGCTGGGGAGATGGCTCAGTGGAATAAGCGCTTCCCTGGCAAGCGCAAGGGCCTGAGTTCAATCCCCGGTTCCACAAAAAAAAAAAAAAAAAAGGCACATTATGACTTTATTCAGATCAGAGTTCAGAAAGGCAAAATTATCTATACTGTCACAAAGCAGATGGAGTGGTTTTTCTACCCAGAGGGATCCAGAATTCTAAGAGGTAACTATCTGATGTAACAGAAATGTTCTGTGTTTTCACTGAGGCAGTGGTTACTTATCAAACTCTTAAGGATACTTACAATTGGTGCATTTCATTGTATACACAGTGTCACTTGTTAATACTAGTTTTAAAATGGTGATACATAGTGATTAAATATATCGAATCATACATTTAAAATTATACATTTAAGGTCTGTTCATTTTACAGTCAATTTTATCTTAACAGTTTTACAAATTTCTCTAGGAGCTAGAATTCCACACTCAAATCACGAGGTCTTCATACTTGCTAGCACCAATGTGAGTCTACAATGAGCAGAGCCTCTCTCACGTCTGACAGATTTCCCTGACACGGTAGCTTCTGCACATGAATGAATGGTCAGGTTGCCCTTGGTCTTACTGTTCATGAAAATGTATTTCTCCGACTGATTGAAGGGTATTTATAAATAAGCTAACTCACTGGAGAAAACGTCATTTTATCTTGTTCTTGCACTAATTTAAGGCCATTTGACTTTTGCTATTCCAGGCTTACTCAGTTATAACTGAGAAGCCACATCAATCTGAGTCACTAGGTTGGTATTCTGAAAGTTTCAAAGTTTTCAAAGGATAATATGTACATATTCATTTCTTTATATATATATATAATTCCTGGTCTCCTAAGATCTTTGTAAGGAGGGGGCTCACAAAGCTCAGAGAGTGCTCAGTCCTAAAGCAGCCAAGGGCAAGCACAGCACACGTCGCAAGGCCACTCCTTACGGCCAATCTCTAGCCTTCCCAGGCTTGACACTGCGTTTACTAGTGTATTCTACCCGGTTCTTCCCTCATCACTGTTTTGAGCAAATTTTATTCTCATCTGACTGTGCCCTTGGCTTTTTCAGTTACCATCCTTTGAGTAATTTAATTTGGTTTAATGTCTTCACTTACTCTAACTTTCTCACTGCTGTGCTCATTCTTGAATGCAGTCAACCAGCCTTTACTACTTGTCACTGGACCAATTTCAGGAGAATGGAGAAACTGATGCATAAATAATAATAGACACACGGTGTGACTGATGCATTCTAAGGAGGCCCCCAGCTCAGCTGAGCACGCTCAGGAAGGACTGTGGAGGAGATGACACCTGAACAGAGTCCAGAAAAGATAACCTGTTTAAAGCTAACATGATTAAAGCTGGAGAAAACAGGAAGAGCAAAGCGGAGGAACCCAGGGGGCCTTGGGAGCTTGTGGAAAGGTAAGCTGACTTATCCCAGTAGGGCCATCTGTGTGAGTGACTATTAGCATTCTGGAACTGTCCATAAAGAAAGATATCAAAATTAATTTTCAAAAATAATTTTTTAAAGTTGGGGAATTACTGTCATTTGTGTTGTTTCTCTGTCATCTTTTTAACACTACCACCAATTCCACAGCACACAAACTCATAACAGTATCATCACAGTCTGCTTTCCAGGGACAGCAAAGTCTAAGCTTTCAGAGGAATTTAAGGACATGAAAGAGGACAGTAAGAGTTTTATTTCCTATCTAGCCATGAAAAAACTATCAGTGCAGCAGCTGAAAAAATAAGCAAGGAAACATTCAAATCAGGTGCATAAGTTTTAAAAATTATACAAAGAAAATGAGCTATAAAAAAGATGACACTGTTGAACGTTCCTTTATTCTGTTTCCCTTGACCCTATCATCTCCTTGACCAACAGA